CTATCTATCTATCTATCTATCTATCTATCTATCTATCTATCTATCTAGACAGTGTCTCACTATATAGCCTTGGCTAGACTATCTGTAGACAAGGCTGGCCTTGAACTCATCAAACTCCACCTCCCTCTGCCTCCCAAGTGCTGTGATTAAAGGCATTTGCTGCTGCACCCAGCTGCAGTGTGTTTTCAGAAGTGGATTCTGGTATTCAACAGGCTGTGTGTTCCTTGATTCATGTCAACGGACTCTTTTATAAACAAGCGGGTCTGGCTGTAGCTTGAATTTCAGAGCAGACGCTGATGAAGAGAAGAGCACGTTTGAGCAAACAAAATAAGAACAGTGTATTCAGAGAAGCCATGGATGTTATGTGCCTGAGCCAGCCTGGAGAGGACACACAGGGGGCTTGACTTGACAGTTAAAATCACAGTATATTCTTACTCTGGGCCCATACACTATAAAGTCAACCCTGACTTGCACTTTAATGAATATAGCAGAGATCTCTGAGTGTTTAACTTTAAAAAGAAAAAAAAGCATATACTGCATTTTAGCATCTATTTGAATTTTGTTTTTAATTTCTATAGCATTTGTACATACTTCTGGAGTGCTATGTAATAGTTAGATACATGTGTGCAGAGTATAACAGTCAAGTCACGTTAATTTGTCATCTTATGTCTGTTTCAGTTGTCTTGAAACGTAATGGAATGTTCATAAGTATAATTACCCTACAACACTAAAGAACATTAAGAGGAGTCCCGTTTTAACTGGATTTTGGTAGCCATTGTCTAGCCTGTCTTCCTCTGCTAGCCTCGGGTGGCCTCTGCGCTAATCAATGCTCTGATGTGACAGCTTTCCTTAGCTTCTACATACAAATGAGGACATTTAGTATTTGTGTTGGGGGGCCTGGCTTATTTTACTCTACAAGTGTCCATTTCCGTCTGTATTGTTGCAGTTCACAGGTTTTCACTATTTTCATTTTTGTTCAAGACTGAATGTTTACATATGGAAGAACCAGGTAATTATCTAGTCATAATAGATATATTATCTGATAGTATTTTGGTGAAGACATAGATTCAAGAACCCCTCCCTCCTCTCTTGCTTTCCTCCCTTCCTTCTTGTTTTCCTCCCTCCCTGCGTCCCTCCCTTCCTTCCTTCCTTCCTTCCTTCCTTCCTTCCTTCCTTCCTTCCTTCCTTCCTTCCTTCCTGTATCTCTCCCTCCCTCCCTCCCTCTCTTCCTTTCTTTGTTTCTTCTTTTCCTTCTTTCTTTCATCTGACACTCTCTTACTTCCAACACGTAGCCATGGCTGATCTGGAACTTGCTATACAGAACCAGGCTGGTCTTGAACTCACAAAGATCTACCTGCCTGTACCACCATTTGAGGTTCTCAGGAGAAGTTATGGTTGGTGTGTCAGTGACATCGCCATCCTCTTGATCTCCCTAAACAGTTCAGAGACAATAATCAAGTCAGTAGCTTTGGCTGTGGTCACTAGTTCTACAAGAGTTGTCTTTTCCTGTCTCCTTGAAAGTCTGGATGGGCTGTTTGATCAAGATTTTCAGAGTGAGGATAAGGTTTGTTCTGGGCCATGTAAACAACAGGACAGAGCTAAAAGATCAGTCTAGCTTGGTTGCTGTGGGTGGGTGAGTGGGGGTGGGGTGTTCTGTGGCCTGAATACTTGTGTCCTCCCCTCCCCTAGAGGAAGCATGGCTTATCACACTTGTTTTCTAGCACACCCAGCAAGGCCGAGACAGGAGGGGCATGCTTTCTAGGGTAGCCTGTGCTACACAGGAAAACTTGTCTCTAAAAACCATAATAACCACAAAAACAAAGTGTTAGGGGTAGGGACTAGAGGAGGAGATGAGGTCCTAAGAACGAGAAGTCTGTGCGGAACGAAGGAACGGCACTCCTGCGCAGCCCATACTCCATGTGGGGACTCAGTAAGAAGGCACCATTGACTTGAGTAGAAAGTAACCCTCACACACAGAACAAACAGGCTTTGAACTTGGACTACGGGCTTTCAGGAACTCTGTGATAAACTACTATTGTTCATTAGCCACACAGTTTATAGTACTTTGTTCTAGCTTCCTGAATGACTAAGACAGGGTGGAGGGCTTAACACTTGCCCTAGTCCCTCTCTCTGTTTGCCCGAAACTTCCTCCTGTCCTCTCATTCCCTTCTGTGTCCTTCCACACTGAGAAAGGTGGGAGACGGTTGGCCAGAACTTGTTCCTTTTTTCCCTCAGGACAGAGACTCACAGTTCCAGGTGCTGATTGGAAGAGGCAGGCATGCCTCTGGTAGTGAGTGCCACCTTTGGTATGTGTAGAGAACTCCATAGATGAATCCAGTTTGGGGAGGATTGGGGGCTCTGTGCCTTTGTGGTGTCTCTCAGAGAGTGACTGCATGAACCACCAGGCCCTTGACTCACTAAGACTTTGAGACCTTGAACTAGAAACTGAAAAAGGAACTAAATCTTAACACTGGCTCAAGATCCCTTACCCCAAAACGCTCTAATTAGAGGTGTGTGAGTTTGCTTTTAGATTTTTGGATTGTTTTTCTTTTTGGGGCATTTCTGGATTTAACCCATAGCCTGACACACGCTGGCCTTATACACCGACAGCCTTATATACACCCTGCCAGGTGTGGTAGCTCCTGCCCTGGGATATTTGCATATACAAAATGAGAGATGTTGGAGATGAGGCCCAAATTTAATTATAAAATTTATTTACGTTTTATGCAGACTTTATACAGATAGTCAAGTGGATAGAGTGCTTGCCTGGCCATGTTCAATTCTGTCGCATAAATAAACTAGTAGTGGAGGTCCACATCTGTGATCACAACTCTGGGGGGTTGAAACAGGAGGATCAGAAGTACAGGGCATCCTCAAACAGTGATTTTGGGAGTCCAGCCTGTAGTATATAAGATCCTGTCTTAGAACAAATACTCAAAAACAGCACTGTCAAAGCATGATTTACAATAATAAAACCATGCAATCAAAACATCTGTACAGTGAGGCCAATCGTGGTAGCACATACCTTTGATGCCAGCACGAGGGAGGCAGAGGCAGGTGGATCTCTGTGAGTTTGAGGCCAGCCCGGTCTACAAATTGAGTCCAGGACAGCCAGGGCTATGTTACACAGAGAAACCCTGTCTCGAAAAACAAAGAGTTTAAGCAAATGGGACCCAGTTGGATTGTACACTCATTTAAAAGATATTTTAAATAGCAGTCGTATTAAGCTATATTTCACACACCACACCAGTCACCTATGTAAAATGTGCTGTTTGGTGATATTTAGCATATCACCAGAGCTGTCATCTCCACTACAGCTGTCGAATGTTTTCACACCAGGGAACTCTCGAAATCATACAGAGCCACTTCAAATTCCTCCTGCAAGCCTCAGTATCCTAGGATAGGAAGCCTGGCTTCCTGTGAATGGCCTTTCTCCCTGGGCTTCTTGCTCTTAGCCTAAGACTTTTACAGGTTCACCTGTTGTTACCTCTTGTCATTGCTAAATAATCCTCCATTGTGTGACTGTGTCATAGCTGACTTAGCATTCACAAGTGGTGGACCTTGGATCCTTTATCTGTAAATATTCATTAACCATATCACTAATAATATATTCAATATTTTATATATTCTGTCCTTGCTCTATGCCAGTAATTGTTTTCCAGGTTCCCAGTGTCACCGTGCCTACACTGAGGTGGCAGGGGATAAACGAGGTATGTTTGGTGGGGGGAGCGTGGAGTAGAGATGGCAGAATGTCCTCCGGCAGAGTGGGTCTACTCCTAGCTTATGAAACTTGTTACCAACACTCAAACAATTTTGTTTTGTTGTTGTTAGATTTCAAGTGTTTTATGTTATAGTAACAGCTCTGTTGAGATATTTACATATGATAAAACCGACCCAAGTAATGTGTTCGAAAAGCCGTTTTTAGTGAATTCACAAATTTGCATTACCTTTGAAAGAGTATGCTTTTGGTACAGTTCTCAGGTTTTGTGTGTGTGTGTGTGTGTGTGTGTGTGTGTGTGTGTGTGTGCGCGCGCGCGCACGCACGCGCATGTGGGCTGGGGTGCACAGACTGTGGTAAACATGTGGAGGTCAGAACAGCGTCATGGAATCAGTGGAGTTGAGTCTTTTCTTCCACCTTTATGTGGGTTCTGGGTAGTAGAACTCAGATCTTGAGGTGCTTGTGAAAAGTGCCTTTATCCACTGAGCCATCTTTCCAGCCCTGCTTCTTTGTACAGTTTTATCACCCAAAGGAAGCCTGGATCCTTCAGGTTTCCTGCCCTCAAACTGCTTTCCAAAGTGGCTTTGCCTTCTGTTTGCACCAGCAAAGGATGAGGGCTCAGTTCTTCAGATTCTTGCCTTTGCTTTTCAGCTTTCCTTGTACCAAAAGTGGCATTCCTCATGGCTGAAGAACAGCCTCTCAGCCTTTCTTTCCCTTCCCTCCTCTCCCTCTCCTTGCCCCCTCCTTTCTCCCTTCTCTCTTTGACCTTCTACTCTTCCTTCCTCTCCTTCTTCCTCTTCTTTCTCCTTACGACAGGCTTGAACTACTATTCCCCCTGCCTCCGTCTCCCCAGTGCCGGCATCACAGGTAAGAGTTTGACACCACCATGACAGCTTGAGTTACATTTTTTAGTTACACTTCCCAGGTGGCTAAACTAAACTAAATCAGCCATTTCTTTTTCAAAGTTCTTGAAATCAGTGTGTTAGTACAGGGCTATTTTGATCATGAGAGACACTTGAGCAAAACAAACAAAAAAACAATAAAAAAAAAACACAACTGTCTTTGACATCTTTTCATATTTCAAGTGGAAAAATGCCATCTCTGAATCTTTAGAGAGAAATTAAAAATATTTCTTTAGAAAGAGGCCATTAGGGATGGATTGTGATGGGGATCACTCTGTATTTGGAAAAAAAAAAAAATCAGCGTAGCACATATGAGCGCATTTCAAGAATGCCCTTCTGTCAGAGCTAAATGTTAATCCAAATGTCAAATGGGCATTTCTGTCGGCTTCTCTCCCAGAAAATGAAACCAAAAAAGTTCTGCCAGAGTAAAGAACTGAGGGAAGAAACTAATGTGAACCGGGGTGTAATATGAGGCACAGGGAACTAAGGCTTGCCAGGAACGTGGATTTTCCTCAGTGGGGCTCTTCATATTCTGGAGAAATGGCTTGCAGCTCACCCCTTCACAGACCCCAGCTAGGCCTGTAGTAACTGATTCTATGTTGTCTTTTTCAAGGGTGTCCAAGCTAAGAAGCAGTAGAGTGCACAGCCCTAAATGGGATGTCTTCACTAAATCCTTCCCCTTAGTCTTCAGGGAAGATACTGGAGGAGGAGAGAGAAAAGTGTCAGAGCGAGAGGGGGTGGAGGACACCAAGGAAACAAGGCCTTCTAAATCAACAAGATGCACATATGAACTCACAGAGACTGTGACAGCCCGCACAGGGTCTGAGATCTGCACCAGATGGGGGTCCTTGAGCTAAAAGGAAAAGTAGACACACGCCCCATCCCTAACTTGGAAGCTATCTGCAATTGATAGGCACTTGCAAATGAAAATGTAGTTTTCTTCAAGGGAGTCTGACTGAGGAAATAAACTATGCTTAAAGGTAGGCCCTGTGCCCAATTGTAGACGGCCAACAGAAAACAAATTCAACCTCTTCTTTGGAGGTCATTGTTTCATAATGTAGAGTCAGGGCTTTTTTTTCTAATTTTTTCTTATTTTTTATTTTTATTATATATATATATATATGTATACACACACACACACATATATATATGTATTTCTCTCTTTTTACCCTATAGGCCCTTTGCGCATATATATATATATATATATATATATATATATATATATATATATATGTATATATATATATGTATATATATATATATATATATATATGTAATGGCTTCCAGTTTAGTGTATTTATGGGATTCCTGAGTGTGCAAACCAGTGAGTCTATGCATCTGTATCTGTTTATTGTGCCTTTTCTTGGGTTCTTTTCCTTCTGCTTGTTTGTTTTGTCTGATGTGTTAGCGTTTGTTTGATCTTACTATCATTTATTTTAGTATTATCCCTTAGAAGCCTGTAGAAGTTTTGTAATGAGAGAGATGAACGTGAGTAAGGAGGGGAGATGGGGAGAACTGGGAGGAGAAGAAGAAGGGGAAACTGTAATCAGAATATATTTTTTTCCTTGAGGAAAAAAAAACTATTTTTCAATAAAAAGGAAAAAAGAAATAGAGTTTAAATTAATGTTAATGTACATATAGCCTAGTGTACCCTGTTGTTTAACAGAAATACCCCAAATTTCACAAGTTTTCAAGTGGCCTCTGAGAATGATGCAATCCTTTAGTAACAGTTAAAAGAGATTTTAACTTCTCAAAGAACGTACTAGGATATGCAGTGTGTACCTTTTCTTGAAGCATGTTTCCATGCCAATGCACGAGTAAAATTTCTCAACGCTGAAAGTGCTTAGGGGCTCGATGACAAATAATAGTGTCTTCTGGTACCACGTGGGGCTTCTTATGGGGGAGGGGATGAAAACCCCTTACTTAGATAATATGGGGATTTATTAATGTTAGAAGTTTGTTTGTTTGTTTGTTTATTTATTTATTTATTTTGTGCGTGATAATGAATCTCCATTGTCGACTGGATTTAGTCACCGTGGAAACACAGTTCTGGGTATATGGGTGAGGGTGGTTTGGGGAAAGTCTATCTGAGTCCGTATCCTTAGTGTGAACTGCAGTATACCACAGGCGCTGGGGTAAAAAGGAGAAGGAGCCAAGCGCCAGCGACTGTGCTCAGTCCTGCCGCCAGGCCTCTCTGCCATGGTGGGCTGGAACCCCTCACAGTAACCCTGTCTTCAAGTTGCTCTCTGTCAGTTATCGCGGCACAGCGATGGGGAAGGATCACGTATGCACTGTGCAAGTCTAGAAAGAGTCCTGTGTCGGATGTAACCATAAGGTACACGTCCTTACACGCCAGTGCTGCGAGGCGGCTCATCTTGTCCGAGAGCCCCGCCCTCTTCATCTTCACGGATCCCTCCCTCCTGCTTAGGTTCACGTCGCTCCTCAAGCCTAGGCCACCCTTTCCCAAACTCCACTTTCTTTGAAGTCAGCCAGGTTTCGTAAGGCGGCTCCTGCTCCTGCTCCTGCCGTCGCTACTTTCACTTCCCTCCAACCTTTGAACCCTGAAGGTCCCTCCACCTCAGCAGGCAAGTGATCACCTCTCAGTGATTCGTGGGAAATCACTACACAGCATTTTTTCGCCACCGCCCGTCTCGCTGACAGGTGGGATCACTTGTGTAAACTGGGAGATGGTGATGGATTGGCGATCAGGTGTTCTTCAACACCATGAAAACTCTATCAAGTCTATCAAGTCACAATTGAAAGACTAGCAGGCACTTCCTTTTCAATGATTTGCTGTCCAAGGATAGGGCAACCCTATCCTTGCCCTGTGTTTTGGAATATCACTCCTGGCAAGGTGGAACAAGGATTGTCACTGAAGAAAGGAATTTCTTAGGTTTATGAGGGACAATAGTGTTTATCCCAGTCTTCCAGAAAATCCACCTTTCCCTGGCCGGTTCTGCCTTTACCTGTCAGCCTGCACTCTCCCAAAGCATTATAATCTGGGGATTTAAATGAGGCTGGCCCTCAGTTGGCGTTTGTCATTACAGAGTCTGTCCATCCTGTTAAGTGTTTGATTGCTCCTGCCGTATAGCGTCTAGTTTGGGGAATTAAGACTGTGTTTTAAGTGGGGTTCTGAGCAGAAATCACCACTACAAGTCCTTAAAGAGGCTGCGGAGATAGGTGGGAAAATAATGTGTTTGCCAGAGGACCTGAATTTGATCCTGGCACCCACATAAGGAAGCCAGGCTTGGTGGCACATACTTGTAATACTAGTGCTAAGGGTGGGAGTGGGAGGAGACTGTTGAATCCACGGGGCTCCCCGAGCCAGCCAGCTTAGCCTAAGTGGTAAGTACCAGGTCAGTGGGCAGCCCTGTCTCAAAAAATAAACTGGGGACTGGCAAGATGGCTCGGCAGGTAAGGATGCTTGTTGCCAAGCCCGATGACCTGAGTTCAATCCCCACAACACACTTTGGAAGAAAGAACTGGCTTCCACAGGTTGTCCCTTTCCCTCTGATGTTCACATATGGGCTGTCGTCGTGCGTGCACACAGAAACACAAATGAAAACAAGAGCAAGACAAAGAAGAAGAAGAAGGAGAAGAAGAAGAAGAAGAAGAAGAAGAAGAAGAAGAAGAAGAAGAAG